TCAGGGGTAATTTTTCCACGAGTAGTTGTAAATTGGCTGTGTCCACGGGAGGAGGTGAGTTCAGAGTCTGCCTACGCCGCCATCTTGACTCCCTTATCTACATATACTCTTAATCATTAGAAAAAGTTAACTCTACAAATATTCAGTAAATTAAGTTTGGTTTCTTATTAATTTTAGACTTTCTAGTATTGACAGGGGAAAAAGCAGAAGCACATCCTAATTTCCAGCAGCACATCAAATTTAAAGTATTTAGTAAAAATAGTGATTTTATGAAATTTTTACAATGTTATAAACCAATGTTACTGCAATAAACAAAAAATAAAAAAAAATAAATAAAAAAAACATAAATAAAGATTTCCAGGGTTTGATGCAAAAAAAAAAAATAGTGATTTTACATTCTGGTTTGGCACATTTTATTAGCATTCCATTTTCAGTGGTCTGAACAAAGATACTCACACAATTTTTCTCAATCTTGTCTTTTCAACATTGGTGAACTGTGGTATTTGCTAAATGCCATTTGTAAGTGCTAACATTTATGATATTTTCAGACATTTGTGATTTTAACACAACTCTTTGAAGATTAATTGCATAGTGCAATATTAGTTTATACCTCGAGCTGTGGGCTGACATCCTAATAAAAGGTGTGTCTGTACATACAAATTTTAAATTCCATACTGATATTGTTATACAGTGTATGTTAGGTTGCCAAATCATGAAAAGCATTCAGATTTTTCTCTTTCTGAGGTTATCCTGGAAATCTTTCAGCTGTTGAAGTGTACACTTTCTTGGTGTTAACTGTCACTAAAGAAAGAAGGTGTGAAAACTTTAGTGCAAATATGTCAAATGAGATTTATTTCATGCTTATGTAGACTTCTTGAATTTGAACTCAGATAACTGAGAAGCCATAGAGTCTTTTTCTTTTTTTATTGAATTAATATTGAGATAAAACATTTTATTACTTTCAGGTGTGCAACATAATGATTTGACATTTGTATACATTGTGAAATGAACACCACACTAAGTCTATTTACCAACTGTCACCATACAAAGTTACATTTTCTTCTTGTGATGGGAACTTTTAAGATTTACTTTGTTAGCAACTTTCAAATTCGCCATACAATATTAGTGCCTATAGTGCCCACGTGGTAAACTACATCCCTATGACTTATTTATTTTATACCTGGAAGTCTGTACCTCTTGATCCCCTTCACCCATTTTTCTCATCTCCCTTCACCCCCCTCCCTTCTGGCAGCCCACCAGTCTGTTCTCTGAATCTATGAGTGTGGTTTTGTTTAGTAAAAGACGAAGCTGTATTGTCTGACCCCAAAGGCCCAGCCCGTGGCCATATGCTGGCCAAGCCACGTAATACACCAATTGTTTGAATTCTTCTTTATGGAAGAGTAGGGGTCAGGGGACCATCCTAAGTTAGTTGCAAGAAGATAGCATTACTGTACATTTGCAGTAAGAGGAGTCTCCGTGAATTAGTGATAAACAGGGCAGAGCAGAGCCCTTTGGTTTCAGCATCTTTCTTGTCATTCCATGCCATGAAGCTAAGACAGCTTGCTCTCCCTCCCTTTTCCTCCCCATCAGCAGTATTTGATGCAAAGCATGGGGAATAACGGCGCAGTCTTCCACGGAATTCTTTGTCTGAAAGTCACTGAGTGCACAGAGGCCCACAGTGCGTAGGCTGCTCCCTGAGAGCATAGGCGGATGCTTGGAAACCAGGTTAGCTCTTTGAGGACTGGATGGGCCCATTTAGGATATTATCTCATTGCCTGGAATGGTACCCTCATTTCATCAAAGAGGACCCAAGTGGCTGCAACTGGATATAAATGTAATATCAGGCCAGATTCTCTAGAAGCATAGCGTCCTTCTTGGAAGAAAAGTTAAGCACTTTTCAGAAGCTGTTCTAACTTTTTCAAATCATTAATTAAAGTAACTTTTGCTTTCTGAAGCAGCAGTGTGCTAAATGCTCTTCTATGTCCTGAAAGAGTTAATGCAACTTAAAAAGGCACAGGATTTTCTTTTTTTGAGAAAGGTATTTGAAGTATTGTCATATATGTTGAATTACCCTCTTCCTTTAAGAGATCATTTCACTTCAGTTATGTTCATTTTAAGATATCCATAGTCATGTTAAACAGGGCATCATGAAAAATAATTTGAAAATGCATAATGATTGATTTTTCACTAATTGGCGATTTTTAAATTTACTTAGTCCTTTCCTTCTTTCTAAAAGCTAATGTGGTTCACAGTATTTTTATTTTAGAGCTGCATCGCTGCCCTCTTTTGTCTTTGTGATGTTACAGGATAGAGTACTCAATAAGAATACTTCTAGAAAAAAAGTACTATCCTTAAATATATGCATCCAAGTTTTCAAAAAGTATATATGTGTAAATAATTTATTTCTATTGCTGTCTATGGGCTTTTAATTAATGAATGAAGATATGATGGGGACATCTGTAAGTTAATGTTGCTTCAGATCTCTTTTCTAACCGGATACACCTATCCGCAGGTTTCAGACTGAGGTCAACTATGACACCCTGGAAGTCAGAGACGGGCGGGCCAGCTCGTCCCCGCTGATCGGCGAGTACCACGGCACGCAGGCCCCGCAGTTCCTCATCAGCACGGGGAACTTCATGTACCTGCTCTTCACCACCGACAACAGCCGCTCCAGCGTCGGCTTCCTCATTCACTATGAGAGTAAGTCAGCGTCCTCACCTGCCGCGGCAGGGGGTGCAGCGGCCTGCTGGAGGGCAGGACACGGGTGCTCGTTTTCTCACACACGGATGCATGTGCTGATGGGTTGATCCTGACTGCCTCTGTCCACAAAGCATTGCACCATCGTAAGAACTTTCTCTTGTTGGGCTGGCCCGGTGGCGTAGTGGTTAAGTTCACGCACTCTGCTTTGGCGTCCTGGGGTTCGAAGGTTCGGATCCTGGGCGCAGTCCTATGCACCGCTTATCAAGCCACGCTGTGGCAGTGTCCCACATAAAATAGAGGAGGATGTGCACAGGTGTTAGCTCAGGGCCAATCTTCCTCAGCAAAATAAGAGGAGGATTGGCAACATCTGTTAGCTCAGGGCTAACCTTCGTCACCAAAAAAAAAAAAAAAAAAGAAGGAACTTTCTCTTGTTAATGAGAGCACATCTTGGGGATTTTTACTTTAAAACTGAAAAAGACATATTTGTTTATTATAAAGTAAAATAATAAAATAACTAAAACAATGAAATGTGTTCATTTACTACATGATGTAATAATAAATTTCTACTATTAGAAAATATGTCTATTGTCCAAAGGAGCTATAGGGCACATAAGACTAAAATTCTATATCCTGAGCAATATTCTTGCTAGAAAAATATGATTAAGACATTCCTGGTGCTTATCTGTCAGTAGATATAGACAAGTTTCACTGAGAAGGAGCATGTAACTGAGAGGATGAGGAATTAAAACCCAGCCAAATTTTACTAAATTGGCAAATAACCATTAGTATTAAAAATTGTTAAAAATATCTAAGAACAATTGTTAGAAATATTTGAACACAATTGGTAAAATATTATAATGCAGTGTATTTTGCAAGGCAACCCAGTCTCAAGTATTCCTTTCCGTTTTTATTTCAGTAAGTTCAAATTTGGCTCTTATGCTTTAGCTTCTGAAATTGGGATTTCATGTCATTATATTATTTTACAGGAATATTTATGCAAATATACTCCTGGAAAATAGCTGAGGGGGATTCATCGTTGGAATATGTTTTTAACACTAGTCAATTAAAAAGACAGCATTTATTCTTTTCTTTGTTTGAAGTGCTTCAATTTCTGAGCAGAATGAAAGAAGATGAGTGAGTGAAGGTCAACACTGGATCTGAAGGGATAAAACCCTTATTTTGCAGGACTTTTGTGGTTGTCTTTTTTTACAATCTTTTCCCAAAATAAACAAAATGAAGTTTCAATGTTATTGTAAAGATATGTGCTGACACACACCCACACATATAATTTTACAAATGCATGAACGTGGTGATATCTAACACGCTGGATTTTCAATCATTATTTTTTTTATTTTTCTTGTCTTTCTTTCTCCCATATCACCTCCCACTCCCCTTGTTAACCTCTGCCCAAACCCGTCCAGCAAACTCAAATTAATAACCTGTTGTGTTTCTCTGTTTTGCATGCTCATGAATATAATTACATGCAAACATGTATATACACATATAAAGTTATGTGCACTTTTTGATAAAAAATGGAATCATATTCTACTCATTCTGATAGTGAGAGAATTGATTATTAATGATTAACTTAATTCAAAGTTATTAGTGTTGCTTCATAAACATACAGCATTTATTTCAAAGTAACATTTTTTAAACTTGAAGTACAATTTAAGAACCAGAAAATTGTATTTTTCATCTGTTTTTAATGTCCCTTTAAGTTATCACTTTTCCTTGGAGTAAAGATGTATGCACATTACAATCATCTGAGTTTATAAAACTCTGAAGCATTGATCAGCTCAGTGTTCTGTTGTCTCCACCTCATCCGCTACTATTTTTAAAATTAGAATTACTTGGCCTTTGGTTATATAGTTGGATGAAACTTAAGAGAATAGATATTTTCAGGCACTGATGAATAGTAGAGCAGAGATTTCGTCTCCTCTTGTCTCTCTCCCTCATTTGTGTACCATAGATTATTTCGCCCATTTTCAGCACCCTTTGAAGAAATGTGTTCTAAAGCCCATTTGCAGGCAGTGCAAACTAATTTCCTTCGCTCACCTAACTCGTTTAAGTAAATGGGTTGTTCTTATTCCTTCTTTCTGAGAAAGCAAAGAATGATGGTCAGTTCACAAATTCCTGTTTAGCTTGTCATCCTCACTAATATCATATAATAATTTATTTTAATAAGCAGATACTTCACACAACAATTCTGTTTTTTTGTGAGGAAGATCAGCCCTGAGCTAACATCTGATGCCAATCCTCCTCTTTTTTTTTTTTTTCCCTGAGGAAGATTAGCTCTTAGCTAACATCCGTGCCCATCTTCCTCTACTTTATATGGGACGCCGCCACAGCATGGCTGGACAGACAAGCAGTGCGTTGGTGCGCGCCTGGGATCCGAACCTGCGAACCCTGGGCCGCCGCAGCGGAGCAGGCGCACTTAACGGCTTTAGCCACCACGCCGGCCCCCCCACACAATAATCTTTATAATCTTAAAAGAACAACTAGATCATGTTTCAGGGTTCTTTTGATTTATCCTATACTTGAAAGTAGACCTGAGCCTCGGGAAGGTGTGCTTCCATAACCCGGAGCGACCCCTCAGAGAACAACGCTCTTTGCCATTTTTCTTTCTTCACATCAGTGAAAAGAAGATGAAAACTGTTACCAAGCTGGTGCATTTGTAGTGGAGTGATAATTGTGTGAGTGTCGGAAATTTCAGATCCCTCGGAGTGGCGAATTCCTTCTCCTTCCTCCTTTATTGGAAAAGCAGGGAGCTCCTCTCTAGTCACTGGTGAGGGCAGAGCCCTCAGCCGGTGGACAAGATGGGGAAGGTGTCCTTACAGCATCAGTGCTGTGTCTCAGAAGGGACACTGGTCTAAACAGTCACCCACTTGAATACTGTGACCCCCTAGTCGTCCTTCCAGAAGTCCCCACACATTTTTTGTGCATTCCTCTGGGTGGAAGCATTGAAAGTACATTGGGAAAATGTTACTGGAATGACGTCACACTGAAGCTAGACTTATCACCTCAATTTATTTATTCATTGTTAAGTATTTGAAGAGAAAGGAGAAAATGGCATTTTTACAAGAAAATGAGTCAGGAAAGGCCTGGGATCTTTGACACGATGGTTGTCAGCTGGTGTTGTGCAAACAGTTAGCTGCAGGCTTTAAAATTAAGCAGATGCCAGAGGGCCAGCTCAGATGTTCTAGGTTGCTGCTTCTGTGGGTGGTATAGAGACCTAAGTACTTTTCAAGAGCTCCCTAACCATGCCGATGGCCATGCCTGTTTAGAAGGCTTGCTGAAGGAGCAGTTTTCTTAAACGTTCCTGGGCCTTAATAGTCACCTGGGGATCTTAGTAAAATGCAGACTCCTAAACTCAAATCAGGACATTGTAATTCAGTACACCCGTGGTGCAGACCTGAATTCTGAATTTTTAATTCTGAAGGAAGTGGCATGTAGGTGGCAGTGTCTGCCTGAGGCAGCCCAGGGAGACCATGACAGGTGCAGGCCTGACACATGCGTTCCAGGTGGAGAGAACCTGCAGGCGTGGGCAGAGGAACGTAGAGTGATGGAGGAGCTAGGGGACAGGCAGAGACAGGAGAAACGGACGTGGGAAAGAGGCACATTCCAACCCCTTTAGAATTTTGACCATGGCTAGTACCCTGTGAGGAAGTATGTTCAGAAGCCAACAAGTAGGCACCAGAGAATAATGACACTTGCTCACCCAACACATTTTTAAAAAATGGGTTGCTATGACCCAAGAATGATTTATGTTAAACTCTTTATGCCATTTAATAATAATAATATAGCTCATCTCCCTTTTGTCTTTCGTCATAAATGGTTGACATTGTAAACCTTCCTTGCTTTAAAAAGTTATTAAGGACCCCAATTCATGCCCAGATGGGTGCATGAAAACCTACCTTGGACAGAAAGCATTGCAGACATAACCACCCTCTACTCAAGGTTGACTTATCTTTGCAGTGGCGCCATGAGATCATATGAGCTGCTAAAAACAGCATTAATTTCAGCTCTTTCTGAATTGCAAGGCAGAAGGGTGGAAGCCATTTTTTCAATATTTTCCTAAAAGCATCCCTGGGATTGGAGTTCTGCTCTGTGTGCTAAGTCCCTTGATTCGTTGCTCTTGTAAATATAGTGTCCAATTACAGTCGGTCCTTTCATTGTGTTATTCTTTACAAGGAATGTGCCCAGTTTCTTTGTATAATAGTAATGTGTTATCCCCCTAGAATAATCATTTGCTCTTTGTTTGTAAAGCGTGGAACCACCAATTTAAAATAGCTTTCATTTTATAGGATATTGGAAAACAAATGGATTTCTCAAGTATATGGTGATTTTTCCATTTAATTTTAGAGCATTTCTTGGAAATGCTTTCAAAAGTATCTTTTTAATAATGCTTCCAGAAAGAAGGAAGATTCATTATATGCAAATATATATAGCCTACTACGAGATTCATATACCTTGCAGTTAAAAAAAAAAAAAAAACTGTGAGGGGCAAAGGAATATGGTTTGTGGGGGGTGTTTGTGTGTGCGCGTGTGTGCAGATTAGTTTTCTGAGATTCGGTGACCTTTCTTATCATTAGAAAATAAGGCCAGTCAAGTTGTAATGCTAATAGATGCAAAACAATTGGAAAACTCCTTACAACACACACACACACACACACACACACACACACACACACACGGACACACAGAGAGAGAACAGGCAAGGCCGTAGATTTGAAGCTCAGTAAATAGTTTAACATGACCAATTTACTTAATTTCTTGGCCTATTTCCTCATCTGTAAAATGGGATTGTAACTGCTGTTTCAAAACCTTTTGGAGGCTGTATGAAAAGCTGGCAGATAAAAGACACTCAGAGAATATCCATTCCCTTCCTTGGATTGGAACTTTTATAAGAATAGATAACTGAACAGAACTTTACTTATGTCAAATGTACATTAATATAATCTGCACATGGAGATTTTCAAAGTAATTGGCTTCCTTTATTCACCAAACAGCAAATTTATTCAGTCACTTATTTGACAAAGGCCAAATGAAAAGTTTATTTATAATATTTGCGTCAATAAATTCACAGTGGCATTAAGTGTCAAGTAAGAAACAATTGGTGCAGAATCTGGACATATTCATAGCCTCAATAAAATCCGTTGATCAGACTTTTTCTTAGTATCATCGGGGCTGGAGACAAGAAGGGGAAAGATGCTCTAAACAAACTCTGAAACTCTTTGTTGTGCCTTCCCTTCAAAGCACACTGGCTGCCTGTCCCCACAGATTGATTTTAGACTCTCTGAAAGGTCTTGTCTCTTTAAGCCGCCTCACCTCCTTTGTGGTTCCACGCACTCGCCCGCTGTCATCTTGTTTCCTAATTCCTATATATATTGTGTTTCAGGTAAATTGGTCACCAAATCTCTTATAATTCTACTACTCAGCACTTACCCTCACAAGTGCTATCAACTCAGATAATTTGTAATGCTAAGGAGCACAATCTCTGCACATTTCACAGCTCAATACTTCTGCCCATTATTTTGTAAAACTGTATGAATGATTAAATAATGGAATATAGTTGGTAGGAATCAGCAGTTATGACTTTAACATTTTTATTTATTTTTTAGTTCAGTTTTACATGTGAAGAATTCTAAATTTAAATGTATATGCTTTGGTTTCCTCTAATATTTCTCTCTTTTTTCCCTACAAATTTTTTGTGGGAAAAGTTTGCTTATAATTTACAAATTTCATTATGGATATTGTTCATTAATCACATCGTCTAAAATAATAATTTCTATTATTATTCACTGCAGTGCAGTGAGTATATTATTGTTTCATGATCATGGAAAGTCATTTGATAAAATGGAATAATTTAGTTGACTGGTTTTTCATGAACCTGGAGACTAATCCATTTCTTTGGCAAACATCTTCTGTTGAGAGAATTTTTATGTTGATCTTGATACTACAAAACCAATCAGCCAGTCTTGCGCACCCACTCTGCATAGGGCATATGCTGTGTACAATCTTTGGGGTGTTATGAAAGAGGTCATAGACACTGCCTTAGGTATGAATGTGTGTGCCTGTGTGTGTTTGTGCGTGTGTGTGTGTGTGTGTGGAGAGAGAGAGGAGCAGTGTAGGTGGTGAATTTTGGGGCAAGCGATGTCCATGTTTCTTTGGCAGAATCACACATCATGTGGGAGTGGAAGGCGTACACGCCTCTGCTGCCACACTTTGCAAGAAGCCATGACAGTTACATCCTGTTGTTTAGGACAATAGGCATGTGCTGTATTTTAGGAAATTAGTTAGAATGATGTTTAAGAAAAATTCTTGAGAAAGAGTGAGTCTATATTTTTTTCACTTTGGTTCTTTTTCTCTTCAATATGTTTTCCCTTGGAAACCCTACCATGATATTTTTTTCTGTTGTTTTTTACCCATTGTTAACCAAACTGTGAGGTTAATGGCAGAGACCTGCAAAGTGCAGTCTGCATATTCTGCTAATTCTGAAACCAACTGCAAGTTCGGGGAGTTCCCAAAATGACCCTCAGGTCTGATCATTTGATAGAAGGACTCAAAGAACTCACCGAAAGCTACTCTGCTCATGGTCATGTTTACTACAGGGAAAGGATATAATTTAGGACCAGCTAGAGGAAGAGACACAGAAGGTGGAGTCTAGGAAGGGATCTAACCTCTGAGCTTCCAGCCGTCTTCTCCGGTGGAGTTGTGAATGGTGTCACCTCTCCCAGCCATGGTGTGTGACAGTGTGTTGCCAACCTGGGAAGCTCCCCTGAGCGTCCCTGTCCAGAGATTTTGCTGGTGTTTCATTGCACAGGCATCATTGATTGAATCATTGCCCATGTGGTTGAACGCAATCTCCAGCTGCCCCCATCCCTGTAGGTTGGACTGAAATCATGTTGCCCCAGGGGCCCACCCTGAGCTACCAGTGAATATAAACTGTCAGGTGTGGTCCCAGGGCCCCCGATGAATAACACTCAGGAAATCCCAAGGGCTTAGAGGTGACCCCCTAAGAAGCTGGCTCTCTCTTGGGAATCACATTCTTTGCTACACATTTTTGTATAGTGGCTCAGCTGTCCTACTTATGTGCATTTTACTATACTAATGAAGAAATATTATCACATTATTTATTTTAAAAAGTCAGCCCTTAGTTGTATTTTATGTATTTAACTTAATGAAGGAAAGTTTACTCATATGGCACATCATCCAAACTTTGCTAAAATATATGCAATGATCAGAAATATTATTTGAAAGATCATTTTGGGGACTAAACAGCCTGAATGTTGGTAATAACAAGATTTTTGATTAATATTTCATGTCGTAATTGTAATGTTCTGAAACATACTGAGAGAGTTATAATAGCAATAGCAAGGTCTTTTTTATGTCTTTGTATTCATAAACATTGTAATAATATCTTCTTGTCTTATTCCCATTTCCCTTATCTTTTAAAATATATATTATTCTAGAAAGAAAGAAAAATGTGGGAGCCAGAGAAACGAAACTCTTATAATGACGTGATCATAATTCCTTGACTTTATATAGCACTTTACTTTTTTAACATCTTTGAGCGTAGGCTAATTGTAGCCATCTCAAAAGTGGCTGACTTAAGTGCAAATTTGAAAAAAAAAAGTAGGGATTTATGGAATGCAATTTTAGAAAATCAACTCCAGTGTGGTTTTAATTTGCATTATATGTGTGCGGGCTTGGGTGTGTGTATGCATATGTATAAACGTTGAAGTATGACTGCAAAAATCTAACAAGAATATAAAATATAAAAGAGAAGGAGAGGGAAAGGGATGGAGACAGAAAACAGAAAAGATTTAGACTTCATTTAGTACAGTTCTTTGATTTTCAGATGAAGAAGGGTAAAATTCAGATGTCAACGAAGCACTCAAGGTTGTACCACTTAGATCTTCTGGCAAACAGTGTAACGACATACATCTCTCTACAGACAAACAGGGTCACATACTCGAAAATGTATGTTTTTTACATGAATGCATTATTGAATTCACTTGCATAATTTTCCAGGTCTGATAATGTCCAGGAATATGTTGATATGTTATGGCACAAATATTTTTTCTTTTCTATAAACCAGAAAGGTCCTTATAGAATGTATTTTCCATGCATCTAGGTGTGACTCTGGAGTCAGACTCTTGCCTGGACCCGGGGATCCCTGTGAATGGTCGTCGGCATGGCAGTAACTTTGGCATCCGGTCTACGGTGACTTTCACCTGTGACCCCGGATACACGCTCAGTGATGATGAGCCGCTTGTCTGTGAGAGGAACCATCAGTGGAACCACGCGTTACCCAGCTGTGATGGTAGGTAGATCCCAACGAAGCAGTAAATTATCAAGAAATGCAAAGACATGTCAATATTTAAAAAGTTTGGGTGGCATGTGTATTTTATGAGGCAGTATAACAGGACTAAAGTGGGAATTCTATTTGAAAATTTATACATCTTGAAAATATTGTTGCTGTTCAACACTTGAAGTTTACCTAGAAAAGTTTCTGTATTAGGTAGAGCATATGTTTAGAAATGAAGAATAATAAAATGTGGACTGTCCTTCAACTTTACCCACAAACACCCAAACTTACAGAGCTTATTTATACACATACACTTACGCATGGCATTTGTTGAAGATAGAGTGTGAGACAACATGGTGAGTATATGTATTCTACGTTGTCAGCCCTGATTTTCCTCTGACCAGGTCCAGGTGTCAAACCACTTCCTCTAGGTCTGCACTGCTTGTCTTAGTTCCCTCTGATTCTTCCCCTCTGGCAGAGCTCTCCTCCCAGGAGCACTCATTCTGGGCCAGAGTGCTCAGGAGATCTCCAAGTGGTTTTTGTGCTACCAGCCATTCCCCACTGCCCTGCACAGATCTGCTCACAGAAATCTCAAAATGAATAACAATCTTGATGATTGTGTGTTACTGTGTTCCTCAACTTTATACTATGAAGTATATAGTTATAATAACAAGACAAACAAATATGTTACCTGTGATTATTTGGAAAAAAAATCAGGGACTCTGCTGTTGGCCATGAAAATAACCACACTATAACATTGTTTCTATTGCAAAAGAATATATATATATTCTAAGTATATATATATATATATATATATATATATATATATATATATTTTCACATATATACGAATTTCCATTTTCAGTACTTTTTATGGACTGCAGGCATTTCCATTCGAACATGCTATATGCATTCATTAAACACCTTGACTTCTTTAAAATGATACACCAAAAATAACAGGGATTATGGGACAATTATGCTGCAGACCACCCAAATCTTTGACCTTTGTCATGAGAGTATTAATCCAAATAGTAACTGGTACTTTGAGAAAGAAAACCTGCAAAGTGCAGGTGGGCAGCACCCAGTGGCTGGAGGCTTCTCAAGAAGTATGAAAAATCCACAAAACCAGGAGAGTGGGCATGCCAGCCCCTAGGCAGTAGCAGATGGAAGACGAGCTCTGCATCTATAGGGCCAGCATGCAAGAGGGCTCAGAAGGAGACGCACCTGACATGAACATCAGCTGTATAAGTCAAGGGGGAGTCCCGCTGGGGAGGGGCTCCTAGGTTCGTGTGTTTATTTCTACTCTTCTTAATATGGATCTGAAAGAGCTTTTTTGTGCAGAACACAAACTGAGGCATTTTTATTTTCCTGCTATAGGTTATAATTCTACTATATCAACTCCATTTGCCCAGGGAAATGTGGCAAGCGCCTAAATAATTTTCACATAATGTTAACACCATTTTTCTATTTGCCAGTTTCAAATGAGCTGTTAATATAGAAACCTGTACTGTAGCAGGACAGATCAGGAATTTAGAGGATTGTCAAAATACATATTCCTGATTCCCCTTATATTTCAATAAAAGAAAGTAGTCCCCCTTTATTCATGGCTTTGCTTTCTGGGATTTCAGTTCCCCACAGTCAACTCCGGTCCAAAACTATTAAAAGGAAAATTCCAGAAATAAACAATTTATGTGTTTTAAATTGTGTGCCATTCTGAGTAATGTGATGAAATCTCACTCTGTCCTGCTCCATCACACCAGGAATGTGAATCGTCCCTTTGTCCAGAGGATCCACGCTGCAGACGCCACCAGTCCTTTAGTCACTTAGTAGCCGTCTAGGTTATCAGATCGACTGTTGTGGTATTGCCGTGCTTGGGTTCAAGTAACCCTTATTTTGCTTAATATTGGCCTCAAAGCACAAGAGTAGTGATGCTGGCAATTTGGACATGGCACAGAGAAGTTATTATTATTAATCTCTAACTGTGCCTAACATAAATTAAACTTTATCTTAGATGTGCATGTATAGGAAAAAACATAGTATATATAGGGTTCGGTACTAACTGATGTTTCAGGCCTCCACTGGGGGTCTTGGAACGAACGCATCCACCATGGATAAGGGGGGACTGCTGTATATGAATCTGCAACATGGGCTAAGAGTGTTTAGCTCCCACATTTTCCCCATATGAGGACTTATCAAAGCCAACTGTCTCCTTTCAAAGCAGAGGAAAAGAGATAAAGACCCGAGAGCAGTAGGTATGCATAAGTTATTCTAAGATGTGTCTCTTCATTTTTGTTCATTTTATGTTAGACTTTAAATTAACTCTAAAATAATATATCACCTTAACAAAGGTATAGAGAACCATAATACAAATAAATTTACTTATAGAAAATATCATAATATTAAGCTATTATAAGAAGTCCCATGAAAGTCGAGAACAGGACAGCTTCCTCAGTATCAGAAATATTATTTAACTTGTCCAGAAGATCCTAACAATGTAACAATTTAAGAAAATTATATGAATGATAAATATTAGAAAGAGAAGATAATTTTTAGCAATAATGAGTGCTCAGTAGGTGACTACATTCAGAATAAACATAAATCAATAGATTTCCATGTAGGATGTAACCTATTAGAAGTATAATAGAAATATATAATAGAAAAAAAGCTAAGGACTGCCAGAAATATATCTAACAGGAAATGTGAGGGTGCAATATAAAAAAATAGAAGTTTACAGTAGAAAACAAAAAGATATCCTAATAAATGAGAATACGTACTATGTCCCTAGATGAAAAGAATGAAGTTTAAATGTACAAATTTTCTACAAATTAAGTTTTAAATTCAATGAAATCAAATAAAAATTAATTTGGATTTTTAATAGAAATTTACAAACATATAAAAATTAACCTGGAAGAGTAAAGGCTCCAAATAGCCAACATATTTTTAAAGAATGATAAGGAAGAACTCTCCCATCTGATATCAAAGCATACCAAAAATTCATGATAATGAAAACAGTATGGAATTAGTGCAGAAATATACAAATAGGTTAATGATACAGCATTGGGATTCTAGTAACAGATCTATGCTGCATAGGAACTTAATTATTGTAAAATTATTCCAACTCAGTAAGGAAGGTTGACTTATTTAATAAATGATGTTGGTTAAATTGGATATCTGATTGAATTTTAAGATATTAAAAATGTAAACAAAAGTTACACATTGATTTAAGATGGAAACAAAAAGATTCAAAACTTAAAATCATTATGTGGAAATATGGTAAAAAGTTATTAAGACAACATTTTATGGAATATATATTTTTTTTATTTAGTTATTTACTTATACAAATATAAGTGTATGGCTCAGTCAATTTTCCCAGAATGAAGATCTGTAAGATCAAAATGATACAGATCAATAAATGAACATTACCAGCGCCCCAGAAGTCCCTGTCACATCCCCTCCAGTCACCGCTAACACCCTCTTGACTTTCTAGCTCTGTAGGTGATGTATACAAATGCAATCAGGCAGAATGTATACCAGCTTCTTTCACTCAACCTTATAGTTGTGAGATCCATCCACATTATGTCACCTAGCTATATTACTTTTTTTTTTTTTTTAAGATTTTATTTATTTATTTTCCCCCCCAAAGCCCCAGTAGATAGTTGTATGTCATAGCTGCACATCCTTCTAGTTGCTGTATGTGGGACGCGACCTCAGCATGGCCGGAGAAGCAATGCGCGCCTGGGATCCTAACCCGGGCCACCAGCAGCAGAGCGCGCGCACTTAACCGCTAAGCCACAGGGCCGGCCCTCACCTAGCTATATTTCAATCATTCTCATCATCTATGTTTGGTTGCATAAGTGTACCACCATTTTTTATTCCATAATACTGTTTATGAGAATTTGAGTTGTTTTGAGCACATTTTCACAGGTTTGTTGGCATATCCTCCTTTGTGAGGCACTTGTTTCTTTTCTCATATTGATATTGTCATGCGCCTTTTTCTTATTAAATTGTAAACATTGCTTATTTATTTGGATACAGTTCTTCTGTTGGATCTGTGCATTGTAAATATTTCTCTCACTCTGTAGTTGTCCTTCCCTTGTTGGTGTCTTCTTGATGAATAGAATGTTTTAATTTTAGAGTCACCTAATTTTTCTATATTTTCACTTGTGATTGGTGCTTTAAATATGGTGTTTAAAAAGACTTGCTACCCTCAGAGTCGTAAAGATATTCTACTATTTTCTTCTCAAAAACTGTTAAAATTTTGACAGCCTATTGAGGTATAATTGAAATGCAGTAAACTCCTATGTTCAATGTGAATGGTTTGATATGTTTTGATATATGTACACATCCATGAAACCATCACCGGGTTTATGAATTTTTCCATCATCCTCAAAGTCAAGACACGGTTTCATTCTTTCAAATTTATAATTTCAATCCATCTAAATTTTTTAGTAAGGTATGATGCAGTGTCTAGATCCATTTTTTCCCAATATGGCTGTCCAAATGAGATAGCATCATTTATCGATAAGACCATTCTTTCTCCACTGCACTGTGCCGTCAATTTTGTTACACAAATGACTAAATATGTGTGAGTTATTTTTTGGTCCATTGAGAAATTTTAGGTTTTAAATTTTGGAAAGATTTCTAAAGAAATCTAAAAACAATAAATGAAAAACATCAACAGACTTCATCATATACGGATTTGAAAGTTCTGCTATTAAAAAACAAAAAAAGGTAAAAGAAAAGGATCAGACTACAGAAAGAAGTTGCTCTGTCCATGTAATATGCGTTTGAAATAATTGTGTCCTACAAATGGAGGAGAGAAGAACAAGGACACAAATAAGCCAAGAGATCTATGAGGAAAACATACACAGGCAATTCGCAGAAAAGACACAACAGGCCAATAAACGTTTAAAAATACGCCCACTCTGACTAAGAATCCTGGAAATACAAATAAAACTCCGTTAGTCCCCTCTCCTGTTGGATTTTCACAGAAGTAAAAACGTCAGATTCTTCTA